TCCCAATAATTTCTATTTCGAAAATATGGGCACAAAAAGCAAACATTTTCCTTTTTTTTTCAGACTTTGTTAAATAAAAAATTAAAAACAATTTTTGCGACTGGCGCATAGTGTGATTATTGATACAATGTAAATCCTCAAGTGATTCCAGCAAAAAATAGACTCCTGTGGAAAATGTCCAATTCAAAACAGATCTCAGCTGGACTATAAAGGGTATAATTTGCAATTATTGTTCCCAACTTCTGAATAAGATCAGATTTGTTCCACTATCTCGCTCGACTAGATAAGTGCGGTTATTTCATTTATTGTTTCACATATTCAATTATGAACTATTTTCATTCAAACCTAGAGTTTTGAGGCTAGCTAAGTCTATTTATGATTTACATCTGTTTGGCAACTCCACCAGTCGTTTTAATATCAAATGATAGGCTTAATATTTAAATGAAACATGTAATTATTTTGGTTTTTATGAAATTGTATTGTTATTGTTATTTAAATAATTACATTTTGCAACGTTTTTGTCTTGTGTCTGATATTTTAATTTAATATTATGTTTCATTACTTGTACTGCTATTGTAATTAGCAACTTGTATTTCTGCTCTATTGTAAAAAATGTATTTGCTCATTTTATAGAATTGGGCTTGCTCAATCCTCGGGATATTATAAAAACAATTGAAATCATCCATCAAAACAATAAGATGGACAAATTATGGAACCTACAGGCATTAGAATATGACAGGGGATTCACTAAGCCCTATGCTATTAAATCAATTTTTAATCATTTATTTATTTAAAATTCCACGAGGAAACTAAGTTCCTGTAGCTGGCTGTATACCACATATCACAAAAAAATTTTGTTTAAAATCCTTTATAAAAGGTATATAAAAATGCCTCAAACGGGCTATCACAAACACATTGCAAAACGTTTTCGGATTAAACAATCCATCATCAGTGCAAACCTGAAAGTATATAACCACTTTAATTAAAAAGAACGTTAAATGAAAATGTTGACAAAGGTTAGAGCAAAATGTGGTTAATACTTGCGGTTGTACATGCTAGTAGCCACCAAAATATATGGGTAAAAACCCTTTAAATGTTTTAAATTTGAAGTTGTTTTACATTATTAGTATTTATAATTTGTGATGGTTAAGTTACCGTTGGATAGGTAACATGGCGGCGTATTTATTTATTTATCAACGGGCAATCGCCCAATTAAAATACAATGTAAACATTATTAATAAATTACAGTCGATTCTTAACATGGGCGTATAAATAAAGATTCTTAATACCTACTTAAAATTAAAAATTTTAATCATACAAAAAATAAAAGTTGGAACAGTAAATAACAAGCATTAACAAAGACTGTACAAAACACAAGGATATCAAGCTATCACACACAGTTCTTAAGCTGAGTTTTAAATTCTTTTGGAATACTATAGGTAACAATCCAATCTTTGGGAATAATGATTAGCAAACCTTGGTGTTCTAGATGTGAATGAATTGAGTCTGTCGTTTGTGCGATGGGATCTAACATAAAAGGGTTGATTTAGCCTTGTTTGTCTGTTGGGAACATGGAGATTAATTTTTTCCAATAGCTGAGGACCAAAAATAATAAAGTGCATACTATAAAACATAGTGAGATATGTCGGAGCATAAATCGGATTTGGAGAGAAGTTATGTTGACGGACCTTTTTATATTTGAATAGTTAATTTCTTCAATCCTCTGGTTTTGTTTAAATGCAAATCTTAAAAATTTTTGTTGATCTCTCTCAATAGCTTGAATATGGGAGTTATAGTGAGGAGACCAAACATATGAACAGTACCTAATCTAGGTGGGGTCTCACAAGTGAACAATACAAAATTTTTATGAATGGAATATTTAGAAAGTCTTTAGCACAACGTTTGATAAACCCTAAAAGTTGAAGTGATTTTGAGACAACAGATGAGATATGGGGGATGTAGGATAAGCTGGAATGGAGCACAACACCTAGGTCTTTTATCTGAGATACAGAGCCTAAAGGGCAACCATTGATAGTATAGATATGATTTGTAGGAGTTTTATTCCAACAAAAAACCATTAAATGACACTGTTTAACATTAAGTTCCATTCCGTTGCTGTCACACCAATAGTTCAACCAATCCAAATCAGACTAGTTTTTGATAGTCACCATCATTCTCAATTTTCAAATATAATTTTAAATCGTCAGCAAACATTAGGAAAGAAGCAAAGAAGAAACAGGAGGCAATGTCATTAACATAGTTATTGAATAGAAGAGGTCCTAGGTGTGATCCTTGTGGTACTCTGGAAAGTACCTTAATCTCAAACGATTGAAAACTCTGAACAAGTACTATTTGTATTCTTTCAGTTAGGTAGCATAACAACCATTCTAAAAGTTCACCCTGGATACCCAGACTCCTCAACTTATTGATTAAAATCTTGTGATTTACCAGGTCAAAAGCCATTGTAAAGTCTGTGTACCTATACAGCATGAACCTGGAAGCCATCTTTAAGAGATTCTGTAAGGAAATTAGTAAATGTCAATAAATCAAGTTCAGTGGAGCGGCTAGAGAGTAATCCAAATTGCTGGTCGATAAAACAGCCTTTTAAAGTTGCTGACAAATAGTCACAGACAAGGCTCTCAAAAACTTTGCGAATACAACTTAGAATGCAAATAGGCCGATAATTGTTCACTTGATAACTATCTCCAGATTTTAGTATTGACGTAATAAAGCTATATAGTTTTCCAATAGACCGGGAAAATCCCTGTCTTTAATGACAGGTTAAAAATGTGAAAAAGAGGTCTAGAAAGTAAAAAGCTAAAGTGTTTTCGAAAAGAAGGTGGAAGACCACCTGGACCTGGCCCCTTGTTGATATCCAAAGTAGCAAGTTTTTCATATATAGACAAAATAGAAATGCTAAATTGTGATAGGTTGATGTCTCCTGTTAAAAAGGTTTCATCCTGCAAATCAAACTCTTTATCACTATAAGTTTTGGAAAAGTATTCAGCAAATAAATTGACAATCTCCATGCCAGAAATATTATTATAGTGCATAACAGAAGGAATATTATTCTATCTTTCAGAGAAGATTCAGTTGGAGCAACATAATCAAGATAGCATTGTTCTTTCAGTTGTAGGTATACAGTTAGCTCGTAATAAAGAAAATTTATTATAGTCAGCAAGTAATCGAAATTTTAGATATTTTTTATTCATTTTTTTTTATTGTTTTTTTAAGCTCTAGAGAAAACCAGACAGGAAACTTTTATGCTGAATACTTTTTCATGAGAACAAAAACATCAATTGCAAGGTAAATAACATCATAAAACATGTTGATCATATCATCAAGACTTTTATCTTTAAATCATGGATGAAGTAATAAAGAAAAAGGATACGGAATGGGGAACAATGAAATAAAAATCTCTGTTACTCAGATTGACAGCCAAAATGAAGATAACCTTTAAAGGCTAGTTCACAGATTTAATATAAGAACAAAAGAATTTAACATGAAGATTTCAACTCAGAAAACTAGAACAATAGTGATCAGTAAAAAACCAATCAGATGTAAAATAGTAATCAATGAACTTAGAATACCTTAGAACATATAATGAAAAAAAAAATACCTAGGGATTATGCTGTCCAGCTATGGAGACATTGAAAAAGAAGTAAGAGATCAAATACAAAGTACATAGAGCAAATAAATTTTCTAACACTATAAATATGGTATAACCGACACATCAACTGTGAGATGAAATCAAGAATATATAAAGCCAGTATAAGATCAATAAAGACTTATGCATCAGAAACTTCCTATTCTTTAGTTTTGCCTCTATCGTCACTACTATATTTCTCTTATTTAGCCTGTTAGGTCTATTTATTGTACTACATTTATTTCCTTGACATAAATTTAGTTTTTTTCATTTAATTTAATAGTATACATATTTCTGGGACTTCTTTATACATTTAAGAGTGTAGGCACAAAATTTCAGGTCAATGCTTTTTAAATGCATTCATTTTTTTTTTTCGAATCCTGAGAAAACTAATAAATATTCTTGAAAAATTTAAACGCAGAATGAGAGATTATATTATTACAGACTGCTTAAAGTCCCTTAGAATTAACAAACAGTTTTTTTAAATGATATATTTGAATTTAAAAAGCACACTAAATATTTTTTTTTTCACCCCTGTAACTTATTAAAATAAACATTAGAGAAGTTTTCAGGGACTTTGGGCCCTCAGTAATAATGTAATCTTTTATTCTGTGTTTAAATTTTTGAAAAATACTAGTTTTCTCAGGATTTGTAAAAAATGAATGCATTTAAAAAGCATTGGCCCCTGAAATTTTGCAGCTACACTCAGTAGGTGCCTCAGTGCTGCTGCGGATTTTGTTTTTCCACAGAATTTTTAAATCATGCAATCAATTTTGTTTCTATTTTTTCCTTTGTGTCTGGAGATGATTTTCAGGTATATAATCATTTCGGTAGTAGTTTTTAAAATTTGTTTATAATTACCACTTATTGTACCACTACTAATTTAGTATTAGTATTACTTTAATATTAGAACTACTATTTTGAAAGTTAATACTGAAGAGAAATTATATAAAAGCAGTAGTAAATAATTTATTTACAATACATATACAAAAATATCGACAGGTCCACATATATACATATCAGTAAATAAAATTAATAATTATCTGTATTTATATCATTAAGTCCCAACTCTTCATTTTGTTCAAATGTTCTTTCATAATGTATAATCCGTAGACCCTCGTCAGGCTGACTATCATCCCTCATTGTTTGAATGTAACTATTACCAGCTGGATCATCCAATACCAATGTAACAGATAATTTTCCAGAAAGAATATCTTCAAATTTGTTTAAGAAGGCTTCAAATTCTTGTTTTGATTTAGGATCTACTGAATCACCAAAAATATGTGAATGTTTTGGATCACTCAGTTGATCTTTAATAGCTAGTATAATGCCTTCTACAGTAGTAAATCTACCTCCTAATGCATGGGGACCCACCTCAAGATCTAATTGGGGTATGCCAAGGGAACATGTTTCAGATTTCAGTAAATCTCTAGAGAAATCTTCCTTACTTTTGATATCTACTTCAATTTTAAGACCTTTTGGTTCTATCCCACTTCCTGATTTAACTTCATTTGTTTTATGTCCACATGCATCACATGTAGTTGCCATAATCACTACTTCTTTAAAGTGTGGAATATTTGTCATTTTCATATTGGTTTGACAAGGAGAATTACAAGAAGGGCAATTTGTTGGAAATTGTAATACTTCCCCTTCTAAATCTTCTAATGTAAATTCACCTTCAGAAATAGGATGCAGTATAGCACTTTCCTCCTCACCTGTTATTTCACTTTGACTAAAAAGGCCCAATTCATGGTCTTGCTCTTTGTTTCTGATAAAATGTGTAGTTATACAGGAGTTATCAATCCTGGGAGCATTTGGATTCTCTATAAAACTGTTCCCAGAAATATCTTCTAACATTAGTGTAAATGAAGTTTTTACTTCTTTCAATTCTTGTAATTTATTTATAAACTCTTCAATTTGCTTTGCTGCTTCAGGATGTTCAATTTTCCTAACAGGTTGATCTTGCTCTAATCCTGCTATACTCCTATTGATAACACCTTCAACAGTAGTTACCTCTCCCTTTTGGCTTTTTGCAGGGATTTCGAAATCTAACTCTAGTAATTTTACACTGGTATAATCACTTTTTACCACTTGTCTGTTTAGATCTCTTTTTGTTGATACGGTTAAAGTTATTCGCACTCCTTTCTCGGCAATAGGCGCGCCAGATTGAATTTCGTTATTCTGATAACCACAGTGTTCACAAGTAAAGGACATCAGCACCAATTCCTTAAAGAAAGGAATTTTTGTTAAAAGTAATCTTGTTATGCCATTTTCATGACAATTCATGCAAAGTGATTCAATTTCCGTTGCTTCAGGTTCGGGATCATCTGGATTAAGATCACGAAAGATAGGTTTTGTTGCACCCATTCTGAAAATTGTTTTTTAGTCAAATTACATGTGTTGTGTATGGTTTACGTTTTTAGGTTAGGTATTGAGTGTTGACAGATGTGACAGTGTTGAAGTTGTGACAAGTTCTACTTTATTTCGGAAAGTTATGACCTTTTGGTTATTCATCTACTGATAACTTCAATTAATATTGACAGGTGTTGACAGTGACAACTGACAACGTTAAAAATTAGGGTTATATTATTATTATTCTAGACTTCTAGGTTGTTATTTATACTGTGCTTCTAGTTTTTATTTTTTTATTTTCGACAACCCTATTGTAATTAATTTAAAATAAATTGAAAATTATAAATTATAAGCAATGATATAATTTTCCCAATGCTTTTGTTTAGAATCATATAAGTATGGCACCGCCCCCCATAGTTACAGGTCTTTCCCCAAATGAAGGACCACCAGGCACGAGAATCAAAATTCGTGGTGAAAATTTCGGTAGTCAACCATCCGATTTAATAGGTCTTACAATATGTGGAATGGATTGTCTTTTAACAGCCGAGTGGAAGTCTCCTAATAAGATTATAGCTATTTCAGGTAATACATAAATATTAAGGCTTTTTTAAATCTGCATTACTTGGTTACAGTCTACAAGAATTACTTAATAAGTAATTGTCTTAGATAGCTTATTTCGTATTACATGTTCAATTCTCAGAGATCACCTATGGAGATTTTGTAGGATTTTGTTTCGGCATTCAGTTTAATTATTTTTTATGCAATATTATTCAGTTTGTATTTATTATATACAGATAAAATAACATAGTTTTAAAAGGCTAATTAACACTGGAACTTTATAGCTTTAGAACAGTTTTGAAGTGATTATTTACATCATTTTGTTTCATTTTATTTTTTAGTCATTGTTCGAAGCTAGTTTCTTAGGGCATTTTAAAGTAATTACTAATGGGAATAAGCCACAATTAAAGGTTTCTTTGAATAAAGTTTATTGATGTTTCAATTTCCACTTCCGAAATCGTTCTCAAAATACAAACATTAGTAAATTAAACAAATTTTTGTTTTTTGTTACTTGATGAAAAATTCTTCTAATTTAATTTTATCTGACTCATTTATATTGACAATTCAGACATACATTATACATTTTAAAGTAGACAACTTTAAAATGATATTGCCATTATTGTTGAGTTGTGTTCCTGAAATGACTTTACTTGTAAGATAGTTCATAACTATCTTACAAGTAAAGTTGTCCCAGGAATGCAACTCAACAATATCGGCAATATCATTTTAAAGTTGTCTACTTTAAAATCTATAATGTATATCTGAATTGTCAATATAAATGAGTCAGATAAAATTAAATTAGAAGAATTTTTCACCAAGTAAAAAAAACAAAAATTTGTTTAATTTACTAATGTTTGTATTTTGAGAATGTTTTCTGAAGTGGAAATTTAAATGTCAATAAACTAACTTTAATTGTGGCTTATTCCCATTTAAATAGTAATTATTTTTTAGTTAGTAGTTCAATGTTAAGTTCACACTAAATCATTTGACATGCTTTAGGTCCAATAAAAGGTAAAGGAGATGTCATAGTAACCACAAAATATGGTGGAACAGGTACATGTAATGTTACCTTCAGGGGATACCATTTAGCTACAATTGGACCTTTAAAGGAGAGTGCAGTTTGGGTAGAAGAAACTCCCATATATTCTTGGGGTAGGCATTCTTTAAGTCCAAGTAGTTTTCAACAAGAAGATCCTTTAGGCTTGTCTGTAGAAGAGGCAGAGAACAAAATTAGTGAAGAGGAACTCTTAGGATATTTTCCTGGTATGTTTTATATGTACTCTACAAGTATTTATTATAATGGTATTAATTATCTCTCATAATTTGGGAATTATCTTTCTCATAGTTTGTGAGTCATCCAACTCAGAGCATTTATGTTATTTTTCCATCTATACTTTGACCTGTATGTTTCTCACATAACCTGTCATCCCAATTGGCTTAACTTGATTTTTGTTATACAACTCAAAGTTATTTCTTCCAGTTCATAAGCATTCTCACAAACTTCACCAAAGAGTTGTAATTATTTAAATGTAAGTAGATACCTACTCCACAGATTTAGCATAAAAGTAAAGGTATTATTCACATAGGAATACTATATAAATGTAAATAAATGTTGGATTAAAATATTTAATTATTTACAGGAATTAAAACAATTAACCCTTCAGAACTACCACCACTTTTAGACTAACTTTGCATACACATAAATTATAAAGAAGTATTTAAAATATTAGTGTGCAACCAAAAAATTTATTAAAACTACTAGTCATTAGATATCTCATAAGTTTTAGTTATGTGCTATATGTGTAGTTGGCAGACAAAAGCAGACAAGTCAAAATTTGAGTTTTTTTGTAAGTGAAAAAACCATTTGAAAATTAAATGCATAAGTAAATGTATCTTTTTTATTAGTTTAATTACAGTTATGTATATAACATACATTTAATACAATACAAAATAAAAAAAAAACATCAAAGTTAAATATTTTGGATTTTGATTGACTTGCCCAGTTAGGTACATCTTTCTTTATTAACTTATCTTATAAGGCACAAATGCACATTTTAAATTAACAAAAAATATCAATATTACCGTTCTAAATTAAAAAAAGACATAAATGTTATTTGTTATCTGTCATCATCATCTTTGGCTCTACAACCTTTGGTGGGTCTTGGTCTGTTTAAGAATTAGTCTCCATTCATGCCTATCTTTCACCCTGGCTTTCAAATTTCTGACCCCTAGATTCCTTAAGTCATCTTCGACTTGAGTTTTGAATCTAGATCTTGGCCTGCTTCTCTTCCTGGTTCCTACTGACTCTTGAAATGGTATCTGTCTTTGGGAGTCTCCAGTGTCCATTCTTTCAAGGTGTCCTAGCCACCTTAGTCTATTAATTTTAATAGACAGAACGATGTTGCATTTTTCATAGCATTGATACAACTCAAAATTGTTACACCTGTGCCATATCCTGCTTTCTTGTACTCCAAAGTGGCCTAACAGTTCTTCGTCGCTTTTTACCATAGTTCATGTCTCTGATGCATATGTCAGGACAGGTTTAATAAGAGTTTTATATATGAGTATCTTGGTTTTTCTGCTAATTATATGTGATGTTAAGAACTGCTGTAGTCCAAAATAGTCTCTGTTCGTCAGGTATAATAGTCCAAAATAGTCTCTCTTCCCTTAATTTCTAAGCTTACTAGGTTGCTGTTATTTAGTTGTGTTCCAAGATATATAAACTCAGAGACCCCTTCGAATGTGTGTGCTTTTATCACCATATCTTGTGGTGCCGCTATTTGTGTGCTGTTCTTGACCTTCATGTATTTTGTTTTGGATATGTTAACCTGCAGTCCCATTGTCTTCGCGGCTTTTTCTAATATTTCAAAAGTCTGTATCAGGTTTCTTTTTGTCTGTGTTACTATGTCAATGTCATCTGCGTAGGCCAATATTTGTACACTTCTATTGACGATCGTACCTCTGGTTGTTATGCCTGATTTCTCTATTGCTCTTTCTAGCGCGATGTTAAACAATAGACACAATAGACTGTCTCCCTGGCGTAATCCAGTATGTGTTTGAAAAGACCTTGACACTCTGTTTTGTATCTTGACTTTGCACTTATCTTTTGAAAGAGTTGCCTTTACCAATGTTATTAGATGCAACGGAATATCTAGTTTTGTAATGGCACTATAAAGTGCGCTTCTGTCTATACTTCTGTCATAAGCGCTTTTAAAATCTATGAAGGGGTGATGGGTATCAATTCCATATTCATTTGTCTTTTCTAAGGTTTGTCTGAGAAGGAAAATCTGATCAATTGTTGACCTTTCTTTTCGGAATCCACATTGGTATTTGCCTATTTTTTCTTCAGTATATACTAGTGAACGATTATAAAATATATAAGCTAGTACTTTGTAAGCCGTATTTAGGAGGGTAATGCCTCGATAGTTGTCACATATTAGTGGATCCCCTTTCTTGTGAATAGGTATTATACAGGTATACCTACATTCCAACTGTCTAGGAGTTTTCCTTCTCTCCAAATGGATGCAACAAGTTTTATTATGTATTTTTTTAGGACGTTTGCTCCATACTTAAACAACTCGGGGGTATACCATCTTCTCCAGGGGATTTGTTGTTTTATTTGTTATTTGTAATAAAATAAAAATAAAATTAAATCAATATAAGGTTGAATGTTCGAATAATTAAACTTTGAGGGTATACAAGGCAACTATCGAACATGGTGATTAATTTAATCTTGCCCAAGTACTTTCGATCAATAGATCATCTTCAGGGACATTTCGTCAATTGTGGCCTATCCGACATAGTAGAATGTCATAAATGTAAAATTTGGACATAACAATACAAAATACAATACACTAAGACAAACAAACACTTTAAAATTTATATGGAGAAGCTACATATTGTATAGAAGCCGGAGACAGAATGACAGAATTTATTCTGTCTCCGGCTTCTATACAAATTTAACCTGGTCCAGATCTATTGTTCTTGAGCAACGTGAAGTAGTTCCTTTCACTTGAATAAGAGATGCTGGTTATGTTGTGCTCTTTGAGTACGAAAAAATATCACTCACCTTCCTCTAAAATCATTTTTTTTGAGAGGTCTACGCATTGTTTACTACCTGGTTTCTTTTTTTTAAATCACTTACTTTAAATTCAGAATAGCTAGTCATTTTATGTATGTATTTAGCTTTGAATGTAGATTTTGATGAAATATACATACTATACAAGTCACAGGTTATACCAATAAGTAAAATATTAGGAAGAAATATGAAACACGAAAAACACAATGTAATGAATACTCGCATTACAAATTAAATAAAGCTATCGTTTACATAATATTCCTTTCTCATGACTTCCTCAATCTTTTTTGCTAGTAAGTATTCCACTGATAACTGGACAAATTCACCTAATCAGTTAAGTCAAATGTGTTGGTTACGTACAAGCTGATCTAAATCAGATAAAAGGACTTGACTGGTTGAGTTTATCTCTAAATACAACGTTTGACTTGTTTAGATATAGTTTGTAGACGTTTTTAATAAATACAATTTTTTCTTAAAAATTCGCTTGCCTGCTTTATTCTGCCGGCCACACATATTATAATAAAATAATTTAGAATTTTTTTATTTAATTTGAGTTTTTGACAGACTGATTTTGACCAGGGTCAAAACATAAGTTATCAGTATAAAGAAAATATAATTTTTGAAATGTTATTTTGTTAAGTTGTGTGGATCATCCTAAGGGGAGGGGAAATTTATAGCTGTTTATATATATATATATATATATATATATATATATATATATATATATATATATATATATATATATACAGATTGAACGAAATAAATTCGGAACATAGGAATATAATGTATTTCGGCTCAATTCTGCTGTAGGTGGTTGGCCAACAAAATATTGTCAAGTAATTATATTATAAAAATCCAATACCAAGCATTTCATCTCGCAATTTTTTCGTGCTCCCTGGATTGACTTGAAATTTAACAGAAGGTAGGTAATAGCCTAAGAATCAAAATCTATATCGAACCAAAGTGCGCCAAAGCCTAGGGGGTGGTTGCCACCCCATCTCCGGGGTGAAATTTTTTTTTACGTTTTAACTACAGGTTTCAATTAAAAAAGTGATTCTAAACAAAAAATGTGCTATACATTTTTTTTATAAAATGATATTTTTCAAGTTATTCGCGATTGAAAGTAATAACTTTTAGACGAAAAAATCCACGTTTTTAATCCATTTTTTAAAAAATTGTAGAGAACAAATTTGTAGCTTTTAAAAAGACAAATACAATTCATTTTTTAAAATGTTTTTGGGATATAATAGGAACCGAAATACGGCCTATCAATGTTCAGCGGTTTTCTTCAAATGCCAAATTTGAAAGATTCAAAATCAAATATCGGGAAAATGATGCATTTTTGGAAGAAAACTCACAAAACCTTTTTTAAAGAGCATAAATAGACCTATCATAAAAAAGACTCTAGCACAAAAATTGAGTGAGTTATGATGAAAATAAGGTCAATACCTCATTTTTTACGAAAAAATCGATGAAAACAACCCCCTAACCACCCCCATAATTAAAATCGATCTTCACCCTTCTGAAATTCCCTTTGTACATGTATTGTTAATACGTCCAAGAAGTTTGACCCATTTAAAATGCTTTGTGTTAGAAAAAGTACAGCTTAAAGCGAGAAACGATTTACAATTTCATATTTTTTACCCTTCTTTTTTTAAATATGCCCGAAAATACTGAATATATGAAAAAAATACAAATTACCAAATTGTAGCTTTTTAAATGACTAAAATTATCCTTCATTTAGATTTGTTGTACAATGAATATTTGGCGAGATATAGTCGTTTAAAGCATCGATTTACGATCAAGCACCATCTTTTTCGAGCCCTTTAAACTCACCCCATTTAAAAACCAAGGGTTCCAAAAAGATTTAATTCACAGATTCTTGTAGCTCTTAAAAAGCTCTACAAATCGTTTTTGAAGAAACGCTCTATCGTTAAAAATTAAATGAAATACGTTAAAAAAAACCAGTGAATTTTTTTCCGGAAAATTTTATTAGTATAGTACAGTACATTTCGGAGCATAATAATCTACAAAACCGGTATATTAGCTAGTGGGGCGTTATACATTCGAAATTTTAAGCGTTCTTATTTTGAAATCCCATACAACAGAATAAAACATCTGCTCATATGTCTATGGCTTGGCAATGAAAATATTAGAGCAACAGATTGGGGATGGTATTCCAAAGATGGTTTGTTATTACCCGTACGCATGAACAAACAACCTGCACTCGATGAACTTTTGAAAATTATTTTTTTGGCAATGCAAAAAAGGATGCGGTGTTTCATATGGGTGCAGAAAAGTTGATTTATACTGTAACTCTACTTGTTCTGGTGCTCAGGTGAAGGGTGCAATAATAGTCCACCAATAATTGAAGATGAGGATGACATAGATCACGATGAAGATGTAATTGATGACGAATAAAATTAATATTATAATTGTTTTACATATAAATGTAAGTATTTTCAACTATTTATGTAAATGTATAAGGATATATGGTGCCTTTTTATGTTGATAAATTTTTTTGTATTTAATTCTACTTTTTTCAATTTATATCTTATAAATTAGTTTATAAAAACTGCAATGTTGTAAAGGGTGATTTTCAAAAGATGAAAAGTTGCAAAATTTTGGCAAAAAATTGTTTTCACCTATAGCACTCATAACAATTGATTTTTAAGGGTTGAAAATGTATGAATTTGTATTTTAAAGTATAAAAAAATCACTATTTAACTAATCCAAACCAAATTTCACTCATCTTAAGATTTATAATATTATTTTACAATTTTTGAAAATTAGGGGTAGTTTTTACCCCTAAGAACAATCAGGTTCATCGGCATGACATAAACTATAAAGCAGAGGGTGAGTTGAGCTTAATTCCAAATTTTTTATGCAAATCGTTCCAAGGTGAAATCATTTTCTTCGCATTACTAATTTTTTTATATTAACCTCTAATAAGGGTCGCTTTTTAAGGGTTGAAATATGATGGAACTTTATTCAAAAGCACGAAACTATCATTATTTAATTAATTCAAACCAAATTTTACCCATATTCAGGTTTAATATGTTATTTTATAATTTTTGACAATTACGGGTAGTTTTCACCCCTTAGAACAATCAGGGTTCGTCGACATGACATAAACTATAAAGCAGCGGGTGAATTGAGCTTAAATCCAATTTTTTATCCAAATCGATCCAAGGCGAAATCATTTTTTTAGAATTAGTAATTTTTTTACATTAATCTCTAACAAGGGTTGCTTTTTAAGGGTTGAAATATGATGGAACTCTATTCAAAAGTATAAAATAATCATTATTTAACTAATTCAAACCAAATCTTACCCATATTCAGGTTTAATATGTTATTTTATAATTTTTGACAATTAGGGGTAGTTTTCACCCCTAAAACCCTTTAGCGCACTTCGGTTCGATATAGATTTTGATCCTTGTTCTATTACCTATATTCTGTTAAAATTTCAACTGGATACATGCAGGACGAAACAATTGCGAGGTTTTAACTATTTTCGAGCTTAATTTCCTGAACTATTATCGTTTCCTTAGACAAACCCGTCTTACGCAAACAACATTGTTGTGAGACAGATAGTTGAACGATATTTTATACAATGTCTATACCCAGGTATGGATTTATTTTTGTCCGAGTTTTATGTTGGTCCACTATTTCAAATGCAGTTCAAACACACATGTATTAAATTGTATGTTTCGTTTTAATTTGGTTCAATCTGTATATATAATTCTATCTGTTTTGTTTCCTAGTATTAATTATTATACTCATCTTAAAATAAAATTGTACTTGTACCTGATTTGGACATGGCTTTTCATTTCAATATTTCTAAATATCTCTATATACTTACTGTTACCTGTTTTCAGGCAAATGTGGAGACATTGGTAGTCAGCATTTTTCTCCTGCGTGGTTCCTTTTAGAAAATCATCAAACAACAAGTTTCAACGATTTAAAAGCTGGTCTAAACCATCTTACTAGAAAAGTGCAAAGTCAAAAAGAAGGCCAACTTTCTTTCTTGAAGGCAAATTTGAATAGTGTCATGGATCAAATCGACACTTTAATGAACTTACGTGAAAAATACGAAAAAGAATCTTCAGTATTTGGAAGTACACCAACAATTAAATTGGAAAGAGCCATCAAGGAGTCTGAGCGAGAAGCCAGAAAACTATTTGATGATGTTTTAGCGAGAAAAGACAGAGCTGAAAAGACAAGAAATGCATTGAATGTTTTACAAAGATACAAATTTTTGTTTTGCCTTCCATGTGTTATAGAAAGGAATGTAAAAAAGGGAGATTATGACATAGTTATAAAATGATTATATGCGAGTTAAAAATTTATTTGATAAAACAGAAGTGCCTATATTTAGGGAAGCCCTAAATGAAGTTGAAAAGCGTATTGTAGAGCTACAAACCAAATTACACAAAGATTTACAGACAATGCCTATTACCGTAGAACAACAGAAGCGTCTTATTCGCTATTTGGTTAATTTAGAATGCCCCTTCGATGCTGCTTGGGACGCCATTAAAAGTAGATGGGAGTACATAAATCAAAAGTTTAAGGAAATATACACTTTCCATAAATCTACTGACAAATCAGAAGCTTCAAAAAAGCATAATTCTGTGTCAAAATACTCAAAATCACAAATTGAAGTGAACATAGTACCAGCTTGTGTCAATTTTACAGATGAAATATGTGTTGTTACCTCAGAAATATTTCCTGATTTATGGAAAATTGGTCAAGCATACTTTTCTGGAGAGTTGCAGGTGAAAATTGAAGCAGGAAGACAGGTAAGAATATATATTTTTTTGTGTTTCGTTCTGTTGTGTGAGTGTTTAAAGCATGTGTCGATAGATATATAATAATATACATATTATCACTTGTCAAACCACTATCGTTGTATCCTAACTCTATTTTTCTTCTTCGCGTGCCATATCAGAACTATGCGACGTTGGCGATCACCATTGCGAAGGCTTCTCGATCTTCTGCAATATGGAATAATTGTCCCTGCATTTGGTATCTGAGTCCATTCACGAATGTTTTTTAACCAAGAAACGTGTTTTACACGTGTCCTACACCTTTACGGCCCTCTATTTTGCCTTTAAGGATCAGTTGTAAAATTTTATATCGATTTCCCCTTACTATATGTCCCAGATAAGACATTTTTCGATATTTAACAGTCTTTAGCAATTCTCTGTCTTTGTTGACGCTCCTTAGTACCTCTTCATTAGTTTTTCTTGCTGTCCAAGGTATCTTCAGCATTCGTCTATGAACTCACATTTCCAATACTTCAATTTTGTTCATAATCGATACTTTTAGCGTCCACACTTCTGCACTATACAAAAGTACAGACCAAACATAGCACTTAACCATTCTTTGCCTTAGTTCTAAACTGTTCTAAACTGTTCTAAACTGCTATTCTACGTTTTATTTCTATGTCTGGATCTAGTTGGTCCGTTATCACAGTTCCCAAATATGTCATTTGTGAACTTTCTCAACTTGGACTCCGTTCAATGAAGCTTTGCATTGGGATCTGGGTCACGACTAAACACTAAAAATTTGGTTTTGTTGAGTTTATTTTAATGCCCATTTCCCTCTCCTACCTCGTGAACACGATCAAGCAGAGTTTGAAGACCTTCAATATTATCTGATAGAATTACTGTATCGTCTGCATATCTAATTACATTAAGTAGTTCCCCGTTGATTTTTTATTCCATATGGTTGTCTCTTAAGTGCCTTTTAAATAGCTGGTCCGAGTAAACATTGAACAATGTTGGCGACAAAATTCAACCTTGTCTGATTCCTCGTTGTATGGGGATTTCATCGGTGTAGTTATCTCCAGTTTTTACGATAGCAATTTGATTCCAGTACAAATTTTTAATGACACGAATATCCTTGTCATCTATTCCGAGATTTTTCAGTATTTGCATTAATTTTACATGCTGTACTTTATCGAATGCCTTTTCAAAGTCCATGAAACATGCAAAAACATCTTTTCTTTGGTCACGGCATTTTTGTAATAGGATGTTAAGCGCAAAAGTGCCTCCCTGGTTCCCATGGCATTTCTAAAACCAAATTGGGTATCTTCAAGATCTTCTTCGCATTTCTGGGGAAAATTTTAAGAGTGTGGCTCATTAGGCTAATTATGCTAATTAATCGATATTCTGAGCATTTTCTCGCATTGTGTGCAATCTGCGGGAATCACTTCGGTGTTATATATTGAATTAAAAAGTCTTACTACTACTTTTATGTTATCATTCTCTATTAGTTTCAGCATCTCAGTTGGTGTATCATCTGGACTACAAGCTTTTCTAATTTTAGCATTATTTATAGCATGTTCTACTTCGCATTTCATAATTTTCTGGCCGACAGTACAGTTTTGGTAGAATTTGACAATATTATTCCTGTCATCTTCAAACAACTCTGATATATACAGCTGCCATTCTTTTCTGATTTCTTGCTTATTTACAATTATTTTGTTATTAGTGTCAACAAGTACAGAGGGAACTCGTTTTTTAAATATATTACTCATTTCTTTCAGTTTTTTTGTGCACATTAAATAAGTCGTGTTTAGATATTACATCCTCCATTTCGTCGCACCTTTCTCTCATCCATTTTTCTTTGGCTAATTTGATTTGATCTCCTTTTATATTCTTCTTTGCAGGTGTCTATATTCTGGTACATTAGATTTTATCAGTCGACGTTGTTCAATTAATTTCAAGATGTCGTCTGTCATCCAGTTATTTTTCTTGATTAAGTTTTTTCTATAATCATTGTTTGTGTAGATTTCGTTAACTTGGTTTTTAAATTCACTCCATAGTTCTTCTGGATCTTCTAGTTGTTTCCCGATGTTTTTTTATTCTATTGTTAAATTCTTTTTAATGTTATGTTTTATATTTATATCGTCAAAGTTAAGTACATTGGTTTTTAGTTTTTGTCGCTGAATTCGTTTTAATCTTAGTTTAATATCTGCTACGAGTGGTTGATGATCAGATCCAATATCCGCCCCAGGATATGACGGCATTTCTGAAACGACCATTTACAAGTATATAGTCTATTTGATTTCTTGAAGACTCAGGGTTATTGCCATCATCAAATGGGCTTTCCAAGTGTATAGTCGTCGCTTGGGTAGTTTATACCAGGTGTTTGCAATGATCATATCGTTTTCTTTACAGAACTCATACAATCTCTGTCCTCGATCGTTAGGTTGTCCTAAACCATAAGGACCTACAGTCTGACCTCGTCGATCTTCCCCAATGTTTGCATTGAAGTCACCTATAATATATAAAATTTCATGTTTATTAAGTTTCTGTAAGGTGTCTTTTATCTGACCATACAACTTTTCGACTTCATCGTCATATTTTCTATCTGCAGTCGGAGCATAGATTTGAAGTATGTTAGTTTTAAATGGTTGAGTATTTGTTTGGAGTAATATTATTCTATCCGAGACTGGTACGAAATTGGTCACATATTTACTCAGTTCTGATGTTACTAATATACTGATGTTTTGCCGTTGACCATTATTTGTTGATTCATCCGCCTTTGGGCCGATTTCTCAACCCCAGGACAAAAGAATGCCCTACCACTCACCAACTCATCCGCCCTAAGCCGTTGGTCAGTAAGTGGGGGATTGCTTATACCGGCAATCACTCGGACGTCAGTGCATCACCCTAACTCTATTAGCGATTGCAAATCCAATGAAGATATAAGAAGACAATCAAAAGTAACAGGTGTAATTCAAAAGATTGCCAGTTAAAAATGGAACTGAGCAGGATAGATAATGAAGAATGGAAGACAACCATTGGATGAAGCAAATTAATGAATGATGACCAAGAGAAGAGGCAAATCTCAGAGATGGACTGATGACATCAAGTGAATGGCTGGTCACGACTGGATGCAAAAAAACCAGAAATAGAATAGAATGAATGGACATTCGACGATGGATGAAATAGTTGTCGATGATGATAAATTGTCTATTAGCTGTTTTCGTTTAATACAGCCATCTGTCATACATAATTTTAGTTCAACTGGCTAGGGCTATGCTTTGCCCAAATTCTTTAAACATTTGTTAGTATACTGTTCTGAGCAATATTTTTAAGGTATTCCTCATTATTTGAAATGTTGGTCTGTAGGATAAGTTTATTTAATTAATTTCAACATTCCTCCGTGTCTTTGAACTGTGCCAGCAGCTTTGTGTTTTTTAAATAGTGGTTTTATTTCCGATGTTAGTATATTCGGTAACATTATTTAATTAATTTGTGGTGCCTCCATGTATCATCTAAATTGTAGATATGAGATATTTAGCCTCGTGGATCTTTGCATACTGTGATCCAATTTATGTTCTTTATAAATATTTATATTTTTATGTATTTTTTCATTATTTTTATTACCTGATTTTTTAATTTTAGGTTGAATACAAACATATGGTTCTGACTGCCATTGAATCGTTTTCTAAATACGTACGAGTTAGCATCATTCCAAATACTCTAGATAAATCTGATCGTGTCCAATACGGTTCTTTAACCACTTTGGACCGTGACGAAGTAGCGCTGTACCTTCCAGAATTACTACGCTCAGTGCGGTCTACATACTCCACACTTATTCAACTAGATCTACCCAATGAAGCTTTAGATATAGTATCTGCTTTGCTTATAGATATGCGAATCTACTGCATGAGCACCTTATTCCAACAAACAGCCGAACAAATTAAGCAACTATCAGAAAATTGGAAAATAAGTTTTAGCGGAAAATATACGGGTGTTACTGAACTACCTTTGAAGTTTTTTAAGGTTAATTGAAGATGTTATACAAATTGTTAAAGAATCTGCTTTATCGGTCGAACAAAGAGAAACATCTCTTTTAGATAGTTCTTCTGCACAAAAGGAACTCGAAAAGCAAGTCGATAATATTTTAGGTTCTTTTTATGATGTTCTCAATAATCTTTCATCGACCGAAGATTATGATGATTGTGATGATAATTCACCAGTGGTTTCTCAGTTAATAGGAACACCTGTAGGTCCTCATAAAACAGGAGCACCGCATGATATCCCGACTTGGGAGAATCGGTTGCTGATAACCTTATCGAATTGTATATTTACAAAAATTACTATACTTGATGAAATTTCTAAAAAGTTCAGGGAAACAGGATTCTCCTCCATAGATGGCCCTATCAAGATGAATAAAAATAAATATGAATCCTTAGAAAAATCAATTTTAGATAAATATTTGGAGCAAAAGAGTGATCCTCTTGTTGGTACCATAGAGCCTTCTATGTATTTGGGGCGGTTTGATTGGGATATCAACGTGCCTCCTACAGACATTCGCCCTTACGCCAAAGAATGTGTGAATAATCTTATTAGTGTACATTCTGAAATAAATAACATTTCAGTTAATCTTCTAGACAGTATTTTGGTCAAAATTGTTGAAACAATCGCTGAAGAACTATATAGGCTTATGTCATGTGCCCAGAAGTTTAGTAAGGAAGGTGCTCAGCAAGCTGTTGTAGATATCGAATGCCTCCAGTGGATATTTACGAACTACTTGTCCCAAAATGCTAAAAGTCATTTTAAGGAAGCTTTGGCACACGTTCCAGAATTAAACAAATCTGATAAGTTGTTAGTTGAAGATATTCTGAAACAATGTAAAGTGAGGATGAAAACTCAAATTTTATGTTTAAGGAAAAAGTAATAAAATTCACCTTTAAAATTAATGTATAAGCTTTAAATATGATATGTATGTATTTATTGAAATGGAAAGATAGTATTTAAGATTGATTTAAACCCATCATTCCTGCTTTGTTTAATTTTGATCTTCCGTAAATCACTCTTAGTTGAATATTTGTTGAATTTTCAGATAAATGTATCATTCTTATATTAAGCGCCAATTTTGTTTATATATTGTTAACAATTAAATATTAAAAGCGAAGAATTTTATTATTGATAGTATAGCGTCACAAAAAATTGTACCCATTACCACAGTCTAGAAAACGAAAAAAGGTAAAAAAAATATTACAGGTATCTGATACCTTTAAATAATAAGGAGGATATAGTTAATGAAAAATAATTATCGAAGTACTGTCAGATCGGTCCTATTTTTTATGAACAAAGTCCAAAGACCGAAAACGTATACTTTTACCTGTAGCATTCTTTGATTTTATTAAAGAAATTTTTATATCTAGAAGCTGTTATATTATAAACAGACCGTTAATTTGAATTTTTACAAGTTCAAATCATCAATAATTTGCCGAGATAGTTGCAAAAACTCATTTTTTTTGCACTATTTAATAAATGTTAATACATTTTGCAATAATATTTTAACGTAAGTACATAACACCCTGTCTACAGTTATTTCACAAAGAGCATGGATTCTAGAATATTAAAACTATAGAGAAAAGAAAAGAAAACAAATTATTTTTACAAACATGTCTTTATATTTAAATTAAAATCATTAAACAAAGTCACGTTTTTTTGCTTATAAACTAATAGAATAACTCTTTTTTATGGTATTTAAAAAAGGAACTTTCAAGAATATATCGAACGGAATAGAACAACTTCAAACGACATCCTATAACATTCACAAGAAATAATTCTAGAAAATAATAAAACCGTACATAAAACGATTATCGGAAAACTTAAAACGATAGAAAATAAATTCAAAATTTCAACAAGCTTCAAAACAACAAACACATTGAGATCTATTTTATCTAAAACTAAATCTAGCAATGAACAAGATTTAACAATGAATTGTATTTAAAAAGTACTCCATGAATGTGTTAATAATCTTATTAGTGTACATTCTGAAATGTGTCCATTCCTACCAATTAAACGACGATGATAAGTGGTATCAAGAAGATTTTTAACAGCTGAGGTAAAATGTGCTAGTGCTCTGTCGTAAAGAAGCCACATTTCACGGCGTGTTTACAAGGGCACGTCTTCAAGAAGTACCTTCTTCTTGTAGTGCCTATCCGTTTCGGATGTTGGCGACCATCATGGCAATCTGCACTTTGCACACTGCTGCTCTAAAAAGATTTGTGGTTGTTGTGTTAAACCACGTTCGTAGATTTTTCAGCCAGGAAATCCTTCGCCTTCCTGGTCCCCGTTTTCCTTCTACTTTTCCCTGCAAGATTAGTTGCAGCAGTCCATATCTTTCGCTGTTCCTCATGATGTGACCGAGGTATTCGATTTTGGCTGTTTTTATTGTGGTTAACAGCTCTTTTTCTTTTTCATTCTCAACAGAACACCCTCATTAGTAACGTGGTCGGTATACGATATCTTCAGGATGCGACGATAAAGTCACATTTCAAAAGCCTCAATTTTCTTGCAGGTGGCATCTGTGAGAGGCCATGACTCAACTCCCTACAACAGTATACGAAAGATGTAACATCGTAGTAACCTGATTTTTATGGGCATTGATAAATCATGACATTTGAATAACTTAGACATCATTCTCTATTCTACATTTGATTTATATGGAATGGTCCCAATTTTCATTGAAGTTCGTACCAAGGTAGGTGTAATGTTTTTTACTCTTCTATTTGTTGACCGTTTACACTGATTTGTCCAAATTGCTGTTCCTTCTTAGAGATCATCATGCATTTTGTTTTCTTAGTGTTTAGTGAAAGTCCGTATCTCTGACTGACCTCTGGGATTCTGTTCATTAACTCCTGGAGGGTTTCAGAACTGTCAGCGAATACTATCGTGTCGTCCGCGTATCTAATGTTATTGATAGATTCTCCGTTGATTCGAATTCCGGCTTCAACATCACCCACTGCTTCTTGAAAGATTTCCTGAGTATATGTTAAACAGCAGTGGTGATAGTATACATCCCTGACGGACGCCACGTTTGATTTTGATATCGTCGGATTCTCCTGCCTCTGTCCGGATAGATGTTTGATTCCAGTACAGATTGCTGACAATTCTTAAATCACAGGTGTTTATTCCAATATTGGTTAATATCTCCATCAGCTTGTCGTGTTTTACTGTATCGAACGCTTTATGGTAGTCAATGAAGCACGCATAAATGTCGCAGTTCACGTCTCTACATCGTTGGAATAGCACTTGTATACTAAAGAGAGCCTCTCTCGTACCCACTGCATTCCGAAAACCAAACTGTGTACGGCTAATTTTTTTTTCGCACAGTCTATATATCGTTTGATGTATGATTTTTAGAAATAATTTTAAAATATGACTCATTAAGCTGATGGTTCGGAAATCACTGCAGGATACGGATTTTGTTTTCTTTGGTAAAGCAATAAAGGTCGACTTAAGCCATGTTCTTGGTATCACTCCGCTTAAATATATGTCATTAAATACTTTTAATTATTATTAAATTACTCAAACAGTAGAAGAGAACAAAGGTTTAAAGATAATGAAAAGAAAACTTACGCAAAGTAAAAAAGAAATATACAAGCTGAGAGATAAAGACGGAAAGGCAACAACAGATAAAGAAAACATTCTGAAAATAACTAGAGAATTTTATAAAGACCTCTATACCAGCCAAAGACCACAAGACAATTTCCCGACACGAGTAAAGACTCTCATAAATCAGGGATCGGAAATACTTTTACCCATTACTGTGTCAGAAGTAAGAGCAGCTTTAAAGGAAATGAAGAACCATCGATCGCCTGGTGATGATGGACTCGTTATCGAGGCAATAAAAGCAGGTGGAGAAATTTTATTAAAATCAGTAAGCGAACTGTTTACTAAATGCTTACATGCGGGTACAATTCCAAAAGACTGGAACAATGCAGTAATAGTCTTGTTACACAAAAAAGGCGATATTACTAAATTAGAAAATTATAGACCCATCAGCCTCTTGACACATATGTACAAACTCTTTATGAAAATCTTAACAAAGAGGCTAACACCTAAACTTGATTTCTATCAGCCCAAAGAACAGGCAGGCTTCAGGGCAGGATATGGCACAAAGTGCATCGAGTACAACATACCACTGGTTCTTGCATTTGTCGATTACGAGAAGGCTTTTGATTCTATAGAGTTTGAAACAATACTGGAAGCCCTAAATCAAAGCCGAATAGATTACAGGTACACGACACTAATCAAAAACATCTATCAGAACGCTACATCAAGTATACGATACAGAAGACACATAAGACACAGAAAAATTCAGCTTAGGACGAGGAGTTAGACAAGGAGACAATATTTCACCAAAATTGTTCACGGCAGCTCTAGAGTCAATATTTAAGGGTACTCAATGGCAAGATATGGGCATCAATATAGATGGAGAAAGATTAAATCACCTAAGGTTTGCAGATGATGTTGTATTAATCGCAGATAACTTACATGATACAGTTACTATGATGCATTCGCTTAAAAGTCTGTCTGAAAGAGCAGGATTAAAGATAAACTTTGAGAAAACTAAAATTATAACAAATCTCGTAATGAGTGGAAATATAACTATTGACAATAATACCATACAACAAACAGACACTTACAAATATCTGGGACACGAAATCAAAATAAGCAGAGACAATCAAACACATGAAATACAGAGGCGAATAGGTCTAACATGGGCGGCATTTGGCAAATTAAGCCATATTCTAAAAAGTTCAATTCCCATGTGTCTCAAGCGAAAGGTTTATAACCAATGTGTTTTACCTGTACAAACTTATGGAGCAGAGACTTTAACACTCACGCAAAAATCTGCGAATAAACTTAGAGTTACACAACGAGCCATGGAACGTGCAATGCTGAACGTGAGCCTTCGAGACCACATAACAAACCAACAAATCAGACGAAGATCAGGAGTTCAAGACGTCATCGAAAGAACCACGACGCTTAAGTGGAACTGGGCAGGGCACTTAGCCAGAACACAAGATGGACGGTGGACAAGACGTATTATGGAATGGAGGCCCAGAAATTATAAAAGAAGCCGAGGACGACCACCGACTAGATGGACCGATGACATTAAACGTGTAGCGGGAAACTGGCTACAAGCGGCCCAGTGTAGAGAACACTGGAAAGAATTAAGGGAGGCCTATGTCCAGCAGTGGACGCGATTGGCTGATTGATGATGAAATACTTTTATTAGGTGTTGAATACCGTCGGTGTTAAATAGTTTTATTAGCTCAGCATATGCATTGTCAGGTCTAGGAGCTTTGTCATCTTTTAGTTGTAATATGGCTTTTTGCACTTCATCTGATTTGATTGGTAAGTGGTCATCACATATGTAGGATGGAGGTTGTTCGGATCTAGTATCATCAAAGAGTTCTTGTATGTATTTTGTCCACATGGGGATTTCTTGTCTTTGATGGTAGATTTTTGTCTGTGATGATATTCCCCTGTTGGTCTCGAAGTTTGTTAGCTGTTTCTTAATATTGTTCTGAAGCTATTTTCTTGTGGCATTGTAAATTAATTACTATTTATAACTGGGAATAAGCCACATTAAAGATAAAAATACATTTATTGACGTTTCAATTTCCAATTCGGAAATCGTTCTCAAAATACAAATAGTAAATTAAACAAATTTTGTTTTTTGTTACATAGAGAAAAAATTCTTCTGATAATTTAATTTTATCTGACTCATTTATATTGACAATTCAGACATACATTATGCATTTTAAAGTAGACGACTTTAAAATGATATTGCCAATATTGTTGAGTTGCGCTCCTGGGACGACTTTACTTATAAGATAGTTCATTCGATTACATGAAATCAACTTTAACTTG